CCATTTTAGCAGGAAGCTAAATAAAAGAAGTTTAAGTTTTCCCAGTACTCATGGGCATTTACTTCATAGCCCTTTTCTCTAGAGATAAGTATAGGTCTCACCTCAAGTGTAGGAAGACATGCATATGAGGTATGATTTAAAGGGCTAAAAAACATCTCTTCTCTCTCTGAAATGCTTCACTATGTTTTGTCATATTGCCTAATAATGTCACCTTAGAGACCTATCTTTTTGAGATAATAGAATGCAGATGTCTCTGAAAGGGTGTTTTCTGCTTTAGACATATTCATATGGCTACTTCTGAACAAAATACACTCATTGCAAGATAAACAGAAGATTGCCATTTAACAAATCCCTAGATTATGTGCTATACCAAATGTTGCTTAGCAATTTCCATGATTTTCTCAGTCTAGTGTATAAGAATAAAGAGATTAAACATCAAGGGGATATGGGTATGTTACATAAAGTTGTACAGTTGGTATTTATTCTGTGTTTCTAGTCTCTCTATTGATTTATAACAAAGGAAATGGAATGTTAATAAAGGGTGTAGTAGGGTGGGTACTACTTTAGTTGGGTGGTATGGAAAAGCCTTTTCTAGGAGGTGATTTTTCTAAAGAACTTTACATTTTATTTTTTAATTCCAGTCTACATTCACCATTATTTTGTATTAGTTTCAGGGGTACAGTGTAATAGCTAGACAATCATACACTTTACAAGGTGTTCCCCCTGATATTTCCGGTACCCACCTGGCACCACACATAACCATTATAATATTGACTATAATCCCTATACTGCACTTTACATCCTTATAACTATCCTACAGCTGCCAATCTGTACTTCCCAGTCACTTCACTTCTCTTCACCCAGACTTCCAACCCCCTCTCCTCCAGCAGCCATCACTTTGTTCCGTGTGTCAGTGAATCCACTTTAATTCTGTTTGTTTGTTTTTTAGACTCCACATATAAGTGAAATCATATGGTATTTGTTTTCCTGTGACTTATTCCACTTAACATAATATCCTCTGGTTCCATCCATGTTGTTGCAAATAGTAAGGTTTTATTCTTTTTTATGGTGGAGTAATATTCCATGTGGAGTAATATTACATGGTATATATGTACAACTTTTTTTTTTAAATCCTCACCCAAGGATATTTTTACATTTATCTTCAGATAGAGTAGGGGAGAGAAACATCGATGTATCAACTGGTTGCCTCCCACACAACCCAACCAGGGCCGGGGACTGAACCGCAACCAAGGTACGTACTCTTGACCGGAATTGAACCCATGACTCTGGTCCACAGGCTGATGCTCTAACAATTGAGCCAAACCAGCCAGGGCTATAGCACAACTTTTTATCCCCTCTTCTATTCATGGGCACTTGGGTTGCGTTCATAGTTTAGCTATTGTAAATAATGCTACAATGAACATAGGGGTGCATATATCCTTTCTAATTATGTTGTGGGGTTTCTAAAGATATGTACCCAGAAGTGGAATCACTGGGTCATAAGGCAGTTCCATTTTAAATTTTTTGAGGACCCTCCATACTGTTTTCCGTAGTTGCTGCACCAATCTGCATTCCCAACAACAGTGCAACAGGGATCCCTTTTTTCCACATTCTAGCCACACTTGTTTTGTTTGTATATTTATTGATGATAGCCACTCTGACAGGTATAAGGTGATATCTCATTATGGTTTTAATTTGCATTTCTCTGATGATTAGTGACCTTGAGCATCATTTCATATGTATGTCTATTGGCCATCTGTATCTTTTCTTTGGAGAAGTATCTATTCAGGTCCTCTGCCCTTTTTTAATTACATTCTTTGCTTTTTGGTGTCGAGTAGAATGAGTTCTTTATAAATTTTGGAAATTAACCACTTACCAGATTTATCATCCACAAATATCTTCTCCCATTCAGTAGGTTATCTTCATTTTGTTTTTTTATATATATATTTTTTATCCTCACCCGAGGATATTTTTCCATTTTTTGTACAGATAGAATGGGAGGGGGAGAGAGGAAAGGAGAGAGAGTGAGAAACATTGACATGAAGGGACACATCGAGTGGCTGCCACCCGCACGACCAACCAGGGCCAGGGACAAACTGCAACCGAAGTACGTGCCCTTAGCGGGAACCGAACCCGGGTCTCTCCGGACCGCAGGCCGACGCTCTAACCGCTGAGCCAAACTGGCCAGGGCTCATCTTCATTTTGTTGATGGTTTCCTCTGCTGTGCAAAAACTTTTTAATTTAATGTAATCCCATTTGTTTATTTTTCTTTTGTTCCCCTAACCCAAGAAGATGTATCAGAAAGAAATATTGCTAAGAGAAATGTTAGAGATTTTACTGCCTATGTTTTCTTCTAGCAGTTTATTCTTGTATGTGGTGTAAGAAGGTAGTCTAGTTTCCTTTATTTGAATGTATCTTTCCAATTTTTCCAACAGCATTTATTAAATAGACTATCTTTATCCCATTGTATGTTCTTGCCCCAGGAGATAATTTCTAAGCCAAGATTTAAATGAGGAACAATATTCAATTGTGTAAAAATCTGGGGGAAGGACTTTTCAGGTAGAGGAAAGGGAAGTATCTAGGTCCTGAGGTGGTAAGGAACTTGACATGTCAAAGTAATTTTCACTTCGATTAATTTATACATTCAAATTATACTACCCCATAGGTTAGTCTGTAAGACCTTTCACAGATTAGACCCTGCTTAAAATTTAATTCTCCCCTGACACCTTCTCACCGTGTGTGCACCATGCTAATCCATGCCTCTGTGACTTTGGATGTGCTGTTTCTTTGACTGTCTGTCATGATTGTCATTCATTTGTTCTTGCCTGATAAACTGACTCATCTTTTAAACTTCACCACAAGCATTCCCTCTTTTAGGAAGCATTCTCTTCTCTCTTACCCATCATTTATAGCATTACTCAATCTTTGTGCTACTGTTGTCTTGTGCACTTGATGCACTGCTTTGCAATTACTAATTTACATATCTGCTTTTATCACTGCTGAGTGTCTTTAGGACAGAAACCTTTTTAATTCATCCCTCGGTACATATGGACTAGAATAGTAGTATTATATAATATTGCTGTATAGTAGATGCACAATAAAGCATTGTTAGATAAATGATTGAATGGATATATTTTTGTTGTTATGACTTAACTAATGGAAGGAACATTTGTCTTCAGAACAATTTTTATGATATATTTATTCAAGTTAGTAGCTATAAACTAACTCTACACTATAGCTATATTCTATAGCCAGTAGAATGTTTATCATTATTTCATTTTGAAAAATTAAATGTTTAAATGTGATAACTCATATTTAATGCAAACTATCCTCGTGGAAACATTGTGAAAAGATTGAGTAATTTTTGACATACTGTTTATAATTCAGTTTTACTATTATCATTATTTATGATGGATTTTCAGTCTATTATTTATATTTAAATATTTTTTCTTTATTGATTTTAGAGGGAGAGGGAGAGAGACAGAAACTTCAAGAGAATATCAATTGGCCGCCTCCTGCATGCCCACCCCCACCGGGGATCAGGCCCACAACCTGGGCATGTGCCTTGACTGAGAATCAAACTGGGGACCTCTTGGTGCATGGGTTGATGCTCAACCACTGGCCATACCAGCCGGGCTCAGTTTACTTTTAAATATGCTGACCAGTTAGTACTTAGTGAAAACATGATTTAATAGCATGTTTTCTGTAGTTTATCTTTTTAAGTTAGAGTACTGAGAGTTGAGACGTTCATTATATTTTATTTACCAGAACTGACTGTTCTTTTTTTTTCTTTATCCTCACTCGACTTTTTTTGTGTGCATTTATCTTCAGATAGAGCAGGAGGGAGAGAGAGAGAGAGACATCAATGTGAGAGAGACACATTGAGTGATTGCCACCCACACAACCCCAACCAGGGCTGGGGACAAACTGCAACCAAGGTATGTGCCCTTAGCGGGAACCATACCGGGGACTCTCCCTTCCGCAGGCCTACGCTTTAATCACTGAGCCAGACCGGCTAGGATTGACTGTTGTTAACTTGGAACCTCAGGGCTTTTCCTAAGTGCCTGGTCAAAGTAAAATAATTGAATAAGGAGCTGGGAGCAGAAACTATGGGAGATGCAGCAAGAGAAATGGGAAGAGGATATGGACCTTTTGGTAGGCCAAGTCAAAGGTCGTTTCTCTCAGGGAACAATGACAGCATCGTATTTTAATAGATGTCAAAGAGATAGCATTCAAGTAAAGTTGTAGAATTGGAAATACATACTTGAAGCTTTTTTTCTCCAGTAAGTTCTCAATATGTTGGCATTTGCTCAGAGTCTAAGGAGATGATTGTGTAAGTGATTAGCATTTGTTCTAGGCCTTATCTGTAGTCAGGGAGAGGATTTTACCCTGCATGTTTTTAAGTCATTCCTGGTAGAATTTCATAATACAGATTTAATGAATGAACTAAACTAATGAATAAATGTATAAGCCTTTACATTTAATCCTAGATATTGTTTTAAAATTTTGAGTTGGGCCCTGGACAATTTGGCTCAGCGGTTAGAGTGTCGGCCTGAGGTCCAGACAGACCTGGGTTCAGTTCCTGCTAAGGACATGTACCTCGGTTGCAGTTTGTCCCCAGCCCCGGTTGGGGTCATGTGGGTGGCAGCCTGTCATGTGTCTCTCTTGCATCCATGTTTCTCTCTCTTTACCTCCTTCGCTCCCCCTCCCCCTCTCTATCTGAAGATAAATGCAAAAATGTTCTCGGATGAGGATAAAAAAAATTAAAAATCAAATAAAATTTTGAATCGGTAGGAAAACTTAGATTGTCATATAATCTAATGAGTTAGGATTTACTACTAACATTTTTTATTTTAATGTTCAAATTGTCACAGATTTGGTCTGCAGGGGATCCTTCGAGATGCTTCATTTATCCCTTTGACATGCCCTGATTATTTAAACACTTCCTTGTTTCATGATATATATATTTCCAAACTTACCTTGTTATTTCTCTTCCCCAGATCTGGGATCTGTCTGTCCTCCCCATGGAACCCTGTTCCTTTTAGTGAAGAATGACATTTAGAAACCAAGATATGGTAATTTGCTTGTTTATTGCTATTGGTGGGCCACTACTAATAAGCCCTTTTGGTGGACAGAGATAGGAGATATATATAGAGATATTTCAAAAGTATTTATGTGTAATATATTAACTACATAAGAAAAGATAAATGTTGGCATGTTATGAACAACACAGTAGCATTTTTGAAGGGAAAATATGTGTTACACACATAATGTGGGCCTACAAAATAATAATATTGATCTTGAGCAAAGCACACCAAATGGATTTAATAGTTAAACGTGATATATCTTAGATGTTGGAGGGAGACATTTTCTAGAAATGTCACCTAGATGTTATAGAGTAGACCCTTGTGGTATTGTTTTGGATCTGTTAGACTAGAAGAATAAGATCAGGACAAAAGCTTGTCCTAATTCTTCCCAACACTTTTAACAGGATGGCGAAAGCATATTAAGCATTTGTTACACCCAGAATCTTCAATGTGTATTTATGAGAGAAGTATTAACAAACCAGGAAGTAGTGGCACTATCTACTTGGGAACAATACTAATCTGTTCCCTTTGGATAAATACAGTTGCTTGCTACAGCGGCAATACCAGTCATTTCCTTTAGCAATATTTTCACTATCATTTGACTACCAACATGGACAACTTGTTCAAAGAAGATGAGGAGTTGTGCCCTTCAAAATAATCAGGATTTGCATCATAAAAGCCCTATGAATATGTTTTCAAATTCTTACAGAGTTTTCTCCCAGCATTTCAAGCAGGACTTTTTTTCTAGTGGTCTGTTTCTCCCCTATTATATTGAAAACCAGAGCTTCTCTACTTGGTTTACCAATCTCAAAGATTTATTTAATAGAAGCAGAAGCTTATTTTTACTAGTTTATTATATTTATCTAGAAAAATATAGTTTAATAATTTAAAGTTTGTTTTATGTAGTATAATAAACAGATTCCTATTATAGTGCTACATCATATACACATTTGCTCTCTATTGCATTGTAATAATATAGTGAGCTTAAACTAATGAAGTATATTTATACATATATATTATATTATTTATTTCAGAAATCACAAAAAAGAAAGTACCTGAAGAAGCCACAGCTGTGATAATATTAAAAAAAGAATACAACAATTTGACCAGTCTGAAGGCAAGGTTAACAATTATTGAACTAAAATGTGGTATACACTATATGTATTGTATTTTTATTTGATCATCTAAACAATATAATTGCTAGAGCTGTTTACCATTTTAAAAAAGAAGAAATTTATATTAGTGCATTGTTAAACTTGGTCAACTTTGTGTGACTAATACATTATGGAAATTGAATTCAAACCCACACATTTGACACTGAATCCCACCTCTTTTTTTTTATCCTCACCCGAGGACATTTTTCCATTTTTTGTTCAGATAGAGTGAGAGGGAGGGAGGGAGGGAGGGGGAAGGAGAGAGAGAGAGAGAGAGAGAAACACATCCACGTGAAAGGGACACATCAGTGGCTGCCACCCACACAACCCAACCAGAGCCAGGGACAAACTGCATCCGAGGTACGTGCCCTTAGTGGAAACTGAACCCGGGTCTCTCTGGACCGCAGGCCAATGCTCTAACCGCTGAGCCAAACTGGCCAGGGCTGAATCCCACCTCTTTTGAGTTTGTTCATCACATAAGGATTTGGTCTGCCCCTTTTCAGTAACAACTTACGCAGCTGATTCTTTGTGTTTTCTTCTTAAATAGAAGGATGTTGACTTTCTTAACAATCTGCAATGTTTTAACAATCAATAAATGTGTCCACCATACATCATAGTTTTTTAATGTTCTATATTCATAATTTTAAGTTAACTATGACTCAGGATGCTTTAAACTTTAATTTCATTAATTAAAACATCTGTGTACATTGAAAAATATAAGTTGTAATGATACCATAGAAGTCTTTTTTTTTTAAGTAATTTAAAGTATAACTGAAAATGGACCAAAGGTACTTGGAGAAGCTGTGAACCACACATATGTGGCTGAAAGCTAGCCTGGAATCATCTTAAATTACTTGATCCAAAAGGGCTGCATAACAGACAGTAGGATCTCAACAGAGAGAGTCTGGGGAGATATGGACTGCTGAGATCCAAATCCCAGTCAGGTGCAGGTGCGAGATGCCTACCAATGAATGTGGAGAGGAATAAATGGTCTGAAGAACCCTCTAAGGAACTAAACTCCCTGCAAAGGAAAAAGAGCAAGATGTGACACTTGCCAAAGCAGAGCGCGATGATCTCAGCTCACAATACCAGCATGCAGGAGCTCTCCTTTGTCCTCACTCTCCTCTCTTCACCTTCTTTAACCCTGGCATGGTCAGAAACACTGCACATTAACAAGGAGGACAGGAAGAGAGAGAAGTTGGGAACATGGAGTTTCTATCTAAGCCATACTTTATGCTGCAAGCCTGCCTTCTGTTGCATAGCTGATTAGGTGAGTGCGGAAGCTTTAATTTTTAATGAAGCTTGAAGTTTTTGTTATTACTGTAGCTACACCTATCAGTTTCAGAAGTGAAATAGTTTAAGTGACAAAAGTACCAGGAGGATTTATTATTTAAAAGAGCTATGGGGGACCAACCAAGATTTTATCTCAGGGAAGGAGAAGAATTACCCCATAGAGCATACTGCAAGGGACATTATGAGAAAAAAAGAAAGTTATTTGATTATTTCATTTTGCCAGTTTGTTTCCTTCAGAATATCATATTTCAAAAAAATGTGCATTTATCTATATGTGTGCATGTATCATATGATGCACATTTTATAGTTTTCTTGATTTTAAAAAAATTCTTATTTGGTTATTCTCTTAAATTCATTTCTATATATTCTTTCAAAATGCTAAAGCTATAAGCAAATAAGGGTAAAGTGCTTATATGCAAGATTCTACATGTATTTATAATTGATAAAAATCATATTTTATCTAAACCCCATGTGTCATGTGATATATTTGACATACTATCATACTTCTATGTGCCTGTTTATAAAACACAAATCCACTCAAATCAACAGGACCAGAATTAGATTTGAAAAAATGTATTCAATAAGATGTGTAAGATGAGGCAGAATTAATTCTAATTGAGTTCATAGAGGATTTGAAACTAGATGTAAATCTGTAATATCATATTACTTTAGATATGAATTAATATTAGATTTGCATTTGCAAAAAGGTATTATGTTTATCTCTGAGTACTATTTAGACAGAACATTAGAACAGATATCCTATCCCTACTTTCTCTTCTCCTTCCCACCACCTAAATGTCATTGAAAAACCTATCCATCTTGATTATCAACATTAAAGAGTAGTTTTGAGGAATGCAGAGGACCTAAGATTTACATTTTAGTGTAAGATAGAATACAATTAAGAAATCTTATAAGTGCAGAAAACTGATAAGAGGTAACACTTACAATACCTTGAAAAACTGATTTTTCCAATACTGAATTTTAGATATTAAAGGCATCAAAGACATAAAAAACACAATGTAATTTATTTAATAAGCATTCCATATTTAGCTTAAAGAATTTATTTAGGCCCTGGCCAGTTTGGCTCAGCGGTTAGAGCGTCCGCCTGCGGTCCGGAGAGATCCGGGTTCAGTTCCCGCTAAGGGCACGTACTTCGGTTGCAGTTTGTCCCCGGCCCTGGTTGGTCGTGCGGGTGGCAGCCACTCAATGTGTCCCTTCACGTCGATGTTTCTCTCTCTCTCTCCCTTCCTCTCTCTCCCTCTCACTCTATCTGTACAAAAAATGGAAAAATATCCTCGGGTGAAGATAAAAAAAAAAAGAAGAAGAATTTATTTAGGACATAGTATTCTATCAGTCTGTGGGGATTAATGTTATTTAAAACACATATTGAACATTTTCAGAATTTAGGTTCTACGATCTAGAATTTAGATGTTGTCAAAAGGATATTAGTATTGGTCATAGCGTGGACCCTAAAGCCACCATTTAAATGATGTATATATGATTATGCTAGTAAGCAAAATCCATTAATGTCCTATAATGATCTCATTTTCACTAGTATAATGCAGGATAAAGTATATAAAATATTTATAATATTTCATTGTTAACAATGACTATTCATGAAAAAAACTCTCAAGAATATGATAATGAAGTTATTGATACTCAGCGTTACTCTGAAAATTTACTTAAAAATACTGGTTGTAATTCAATGCATCATTAAACACCCCTAATCTCCTACCCGAGAGCTATTCTCCACTACCTTTTTACTAACAGAACCTTTTTTCTTCAGATTGACCACGATCCCAGATAAAATACTTACTTTCTCAGGAATGTCCATGTAACAAAAGTATAGGCAATGTGATAAAAGTATGGTTCTGCTGGATACTCCTGGGAATATTTTTGTTTTTCTAATACAGACACGCTTTTTGTGCCTTTCTCTTTTTCTAACCTAAATAGCACAGCTAAAGAGGGAGACGCCATCTTGCCTCCACGATTTGACAAGTACGAAGATCAAAGCTTCACTATGAGGATGATGGAGAAAATGATAAGAGGGGGCCTAGATTCACTTCCTTCAAACTTCTTGTTATGTGAGGAAAATAAAATGCTGTTATAAGTAAGGTTAAGCTACAGAGATGGGCTTCTATTCCTGTACTGAAATACATCACAGTTCATACAATATACATAAAATTGGTAAAAGTATTCATTTTAAAGGCTTAATCTGAGAGACTCATGAAACCTAACACAATTAAATCTCAAAAAATCATAGCTCTTTAATTCATTGGGATTTTGAATTGCTCTTTCATAGTCTTTTAGTTACCAAACTATTAAATACATTTCAACTTTCAAAGTTGTGAATAATGCAGATGAATCCTGTTAATTTCTCAGTGTGAGTATGGTTGTGTGTGTATGTGAAGATGTGTATGTATATGCACATGTATTCAAGGAGACTGAAGAGTGATTATTTCTTGGGATACTCAATGTTAGTTATTTCCAACTCATTTTTCAAATCTCTCCACGCAAGTTCTACTCCTTGTGGAATAACTGAAACTCTGCTCTCACATTTGCTTCTCAAGTTTCTGCCAGTACTTACTATTCAGTGTATCAATTCCTTTGGTGCATAAATTAAGATCCCTGGGTGGGCCCTGAAGACAGTCCATAAGTAATGCACTGCTGAGTGAGCACCAACTTCTCTCAGAAGCTTCGTTGGTGATGGCAGCACTCCACAACCTGTGGCTTATGGTGAGGCTAGGGCATAGCACTTAATCATTAGAGAAAGGTGGATATAATTACCAGCTTGCCATCAAGTTGCCTTGACCTTCAAGGATTTTTGGTAATAACTAACAGGTCATGGTGTTCTTAGATACGAGGTAGATGGGCAAATGCCTATGACAAAGGGAGAGAAATTTTAAAAAATAATAACAGTAATAGGCAGAAGGCTCACATCAGCTGCTAAAAAGGGAACTTGCGGCTCATCCATTTTCAGAATTCTCAGATTCAGAACTCATTGCCTGAAGTGCATGGTTCTTTCGAGAAAAAATTCTGCGATGCCACATGAAATGGATATAGTAAGTTTTCTCTCAATGGCTTTCCAAAGGAACCTGGAACCATTTCCAGAGTAACGCAACACAGAGGAATGGGAAAACCCAGACATTTCTAAGGCTGTGAGAAGGTCTGAGCTGACACGAATGACATGGAATTCGAAACACCACCACGATTCTATGGTCAAATGGGATATTGAGGAGTTTGGCTCAAGTCCATTTCACAGTATATCCAAGTATCTTTGGGTCTAACCTATGGTTACTTCTTGGTCCTCATGTGTGTTATCGAGAGAGAAATACTTAGCAGCTGGTAGAACCTGGATACATGGCCTGTGGAATAAGAGCCACTAGAGCAGTGGTTCTCAACCTTCTAATGCCAAGACTCTTGAATACAGTTCATGTTGTGGTGACCTCCAACCATAAAATTATTTTTGTTGCTACTTCATAACTGTAATTTTGCTACTATTATGTTTCAGGCGACCCCTGTAAAAGGGTCATTCGACCCCCAAAGGGGTTGTGACCCACAGGTTGAGAACCGCTGCACTAGAGCATCCAGAGCCAAGTGGAAACCCTGAAACCACACTCCTACCCTGAGGAAAATTTTCAGTCAGAAGTAATGCCATATTATGGGAAGAACTGTTGAGATCAATGCCACTATCAAAGACTTAGAAGATATAGGGGTGATGGTTCACACATTTCCATGCAATTCATTTATGTAATATCCTGCAAAAATGAAATGAATCTTGGCAGATGTATATATTACTATAAATTTATCCAAGTGCCAGTCCCAATCCCAGCTGCTGTGTCACACCATCTGCCACAGAAATTACTATTAGGGCT